CTGGGACTGACTTCTTTGGCACTGACAGTATAACATGTTATCAACACTACTTATAATGCATTATATTAAAAATTCATAATGTATAATAAACATGGCTATAAAGTGTAATTCATTTTTATAAATGTTTATAATCATGTTTATAATGCCTTATGAATGCATTATAACATGATATATATGTGTTTCTAGATGCTTACAAATGTGACATTCATAGAAAGTGTTACCGTGGCTAGCAGTGCAACCAAGGCAGAGAACAGGGGTAGCACATGCAAACAGCTGACACACCAGTGCCATCAGGGTGGTGGACGGCAGAGAAAGCAAAAGTGGTAGAGGGGAGCGCTGCTGCTGCTGTCACTGTCCCCAGTAGCAGCAGACCTGAAGCGGTGGGACTGTGTTGGGTTTCCAGGACTATGGACTTTTAAGGAGGGGCAGTGTGGTGACAGCCATGGGGCCTGCAGCCAACCAAAAGCTGGCAGGCAGGGAAGTGGCTCATGGGAGGCATGCCCCTAAGTTAAATATGTGCCACTTATTGTTGTTTATGTGTTGGTCATAAGTTAAAAGGTATGAGTATACGTTCTATGTGTTATTCTGTGTCTGGGGTTGGTTTAGTTCAGGCATGTCAAACTGGGGACCTTCCAGGCCAAAGTGCTGCAGAGATTGGCATTTACTCTCATCTAATGCTCTGAATTCAGTTTATGAAGGCCTTGCTAATTAGCTGACGAGCTGAATCAGGTGTGTTTAAAGAGGCAGTGTGCTGAAGTCTGCAGTGGTTTAACCCACGAGGACTGGAGCCTGACACATGCAGTTTAGTGGGTTGAGTACCATAGTTGGGAGTAGTATGGTTGGAAGTGACCTCTTAGATCAGAATCATGGCTTCAGTTGATTCTTCATCTGACCGCTGTTAAAATATCATGTGCAATATTGCTTTTTCTATTTTTCTATTTTAGCTTAAGTTCTATCTTATGCATCTGCAGCCCAGAGCAAATCACTCTTACTGCACTGGTCTTGCACTATGCTACTGTTGTGAAGAACACATTGCTGTGCAGGCACCAAACACAGTGCAAGATGGTGAAGTAAAACTCCTGTAGGGCTGCGATCAACCGCATACCCTGACCCTCAGGCTCTTCGAACTGTGCATGAGCCAGGTCAAAAAGGCATGAACAGTGTGCAAAACAAAGGGGACCCTTTGAAGGTACAGGTAGGGGTGAAAATGGTGCAGCTCCACTACGATGGCCTACAGCTCTCTTCACATCATGCAATATTTGCACTCTGGCTTACTCAGGCACTCAGGTGATGACTCTCATTCCCATCAGGCACTTGTGAGAGGACAGCAAAAGGATAGCAAACACCTGTTCTGCTTCCTCATCCCATTGTAAAGCAGTGAACTTTTCGGTAAGCCTGTGAAATGGTGCAGCTATATCAGCGAACCCGTGCATGGAGCACTAGTAGTACAAGAAGCTTCATAATTCTCTGATGCTCCAGGGCTTGAACCACTACTGCAGCATGTCTGCTTTCACCAGGTCTGTTTTCACCCTTTCACTGCTTACCATGTGACCCAGGAATTTCACACACCACTGAAGGAGGCTGCCTTTCTTAGGGTGCAGCAAACAGTTTGCAGACTTGATTGTTTGAAACACCTGCTCTAAGTTTGTGAGTGTGCCTTAAAAATTGGGTCCTTGGACAAGTGCTTTGTCCAGATAGATGACGCACTGGTTCTTGGGGATGCCAGTGAGCACTCACTCCATCAGCCACTCGAATGTAGCCTGTGCATTACAAAGTCTGAAGGCCATTACCATATAGTGCCATACCCTGCTGCCTAGTGTGAACGCCATCTTTAGGCTGGTGTCTGGATCTAGCGCTACCTGTGCAATATCCACTCCACAGGTCCAATGAGCTGAACCACATGGAGCCAGCAAGCTGTTATCAATGTGCGGGAGATGATACGAGTTTGGCCTGGAAACATCATTGAGCCACCGGTAGTCCACATAAAAATACTATTTACTATCCTTCTTTTTGGCTAGGACCACTGGTGCTGACTCTACTGCCACTTTAACTCATCCATCCTTCCAATCTTAAAACCTCTCCCAACCGGTTACAGCTCCCAACCAAAGCTGCTTCAAAAGAGTTAATGACTTTCTCTTCATCTTCAAAGAGACACTAACATTCATACAAACAGCTACCCAAACACACCTTAGCTGCCTTAAAAATTCTTTCTCATGAACATCAAAAATGGCAAAGATATTTCTGAGGAGATTAGTTGCAAAATGATCCACTTGTGTAAGAAGGAGAAAGCCAAAGGAAAAAATAAGTTTCTAAAACTGGAGTTCAAAAAATTATAAGAAAAACAGACTCCTAACAACTGTGCAAGACAAACAACCACTGTCAGATAAATACTTCTTAAAGCTTTTGATCTTTGAGAGAAAATCAAGCTTCACTCTTGGCTCAGATCTGAAAAAATCAGTAGGTGTTTCTGTCCATCCTTCCACTGTGAGAAGACAACTATGAGTCTGAAATGATACGTAGCTGTTAGCAAGCCCTTTCTGAGAAAAAGAAACAGACAAAAAAGTAGAAAATTTGCACTAGATCATCAAAACTGGAATGTGAAGGAAGTTTTTCTGGACTGATGAGTCTAAATATTTAATTGGGATTACCGATACTGTGAGCAGCAGAAAATGAGAGTGAACAGAATATCTCTGCAGTTTTCTTTGAGAAACCGAAAGTATCTCTACCAAAAAGAATCGAAACTGGAATAAAGACAAAATGTGGACACGTGATATTATATTTAGTTGTTGAGGCCCATATAATTCTCCAGTAAAAATGTTTTGTGCTTTTTACCACTGAAAAATGAATAACCTAAAGGCTGTTTTGACTGGAAATTAAATAAATGATGAGTATTTTCTGACTTTTGCATGCTACTATTATTTTAAGATTGATTTCATTTCCTCAGTGTTTTGACAACCAACATTGTCCTGGATCACCTTTTCAGAAATGCTGTTCCAAACCTATAATGAGGAAGGTAAATGCAAAAGTGTCTGAAAAACTTCTAAAGAAGCACTGAAAGAATAATTACTGAGAGGAACCAAGACTGATAATGGAAATCTTCCAAAAAAAGATCATAGGAAATACCCAAACCACAGAGAGGAACCAAAACTCAGAAGGAGAACTCATCCTCTTCTGATAAAAGTGGACCAAGTATACAAAATACACTCAGATCACACAGAGGAATATTATCCACCCATAATGTCCACCCTAAATTCTTAACACTGAATATTTATAACCAATGTTTAACGTTTACCCCAAAACCTAGGCTTTTCTTTTGTATGTACATGAGGAGTAGAGGGAGAATATTTACTCATCTGCTAAATGAGTAAGAAACAGTTAAGAAGGTTAGATGCATACAGATGCATACAGTTCGAAGAACACAGGTTTGAGTCCTGACCTCTAGCTGCTCTTCTGTCATTATATGAATTTGTTAAATTCCATCAGCAGCACTTTAATTTTTTGATTTTAATTTATTAAGGATTGATTAGACAAATTATGTATAGGATGCTTGTTGCAAATAATAATAATAATAATAATAATAATAATAAAAAATAAAAAAATAATAATAAAAATAATGACAACTTTATTTATAGAGCACTTTTCATACCATGGCAGCTCAAGGTGCTTTACAGACAGGTGTTAAAGCATAACAGTAATAAAACCACATTGAGTATTGAATTAAAATCACATAAAGCAATGACTCAGATTAAATTTAAGGATAAATACCAAAAGAGACATAGGAATTTAATTAAACACTAAATTATAGAGATACATTTACAATGTTTCTTAAAAGTGAGCACTGAGCTTGACTGTCTAACAAAAGGTGAAATTAAGCTCAGCAGTCTAGAAGCATGATAACCGAAAGAGGCCTCCCCAGGTTTCCTGTATTTTATCAAAGGTATTTGCAGAAGGCCAGCATCTGCAGATCTAAGATCACGTGTTGGAACATAAACCGACAGACACTGTAAGCGGTGGCTGTAAGCGGTTGCTTTAAGGCCATTTAGAGCTTTAAAAACTAGTAACAGAATTTTAAAATCTTTCCTGAAAGAAACAGGCAGCAAGAGCAGTTCTGATGAATGATATGATCTCTCTTTAGGATCTGTGCTGCTGCATTTTATACGAGTTGTAGAGGATGGATTGTTTTCTTTGGAAGCCCAATGAGAAGAGCATTACAGTAATCAATTTGCTTGTAAATAATGCATGAACAGGTTTCTCTGCATCACTCTGAGGCAGAAAAGTCCTCTCAAATGATAAAAATCGACTTTCTACTGCGTTAACATGCAGAAAAAAAGCCTCAGTTATATGAAGTAAAAGAGCCTAGTTTCTCATGAAACATCATGTTTTAGTATGTTTAGGATTAGTATTTCAGTATTTAAACGCGAAGCACCTCATGGACCTGGTTTGTATCTCACTGACTCACTCACTCACGTTTGACAAGATTATCCACAAGGAGCTGCTACTGGCACTCTAGGGAGAATTCCTTGTGGGTCGCTGAGAGAATGAGAAAGAGTGAAATGGTCATTTCTACTGCAGCACTAAATGAAATGAATGGAGACCACCTGGAAAACCTGGAGTTTATTGAACATCTGATTTTCGTTCTTGATTCTCTTTTTTTTTGAGAAAGGTCCTAAGAAAAACTCTATGTCAGATTCAAGATGTGGTCTTACACTGCAGAATTGTTCACACCTTTGTGCTCTAGAGTGTGTGTAGATTCTTGCTTACCTATGAACAAATCCCAAATAAGAAAACTCTGGTGAATGCCAGAATCCTTGTGAAAACTGCACTGCAAGTTGGTTTTAAAAAGAAAGTTTATCTGTGTTCACCTATGTGTGTGCACATAGATGTGCTTTGACTCTCTCTCTGATAGGCTCAGTGAATGGCAGGGCCTGACAGCCTCCAGTTCCTCCCTGTTATATGACAAAAGAAGTAGAAGGACAGTCACAAACAGCAAAGCGCTCATACACACGCAGAGTGGTGTCAACAAAGCAAACAGCCCAACATGACTCTCAGTCATGTCTCGACTTTCCTGGGTCTTTTAGCAGCAGGTAAGTCCTCTTGATTCCAGATTAAAGTCAAAGACCTGTCAGAATGAAACATGTAGAGAGCTCAGGACCAGGCCTCGGTCAGCAGACGCCCTTTACGCTGTCAACAAGTGCTATAAAGTGGGTGAACTGTTAATTACTTGGGACTCTGGCATTTGCTGTTTCTGTTTTTACAGAACAACATTCTTCTTTGTTCTTTTCTCCTCCACTTTCTTTCCAGTCTGATGCTTTGTCCTGTTACATAATTGCTCCAGCAAAGACAGACTGTAAGCTTTCTCTGTGCTGCAGTGTTATAATTGTATATCGTATAATTCTATGTATAATCAGATTTAGTTTACATGGTCTGCTCCATGGTCTGATGTACAAGGCTCTGCTCACTATGTCGCCCTGGTTCATCCCACAGGGTCTGCAGTGACCGTTCTCTATCCCAGCCTTGGCAGCTCAGAGACCCTGACTTGTGAATGCCCGGACCACCAGTGTCAGAAGGTGTACTGGTACCGTTTCCTCCAGGATACTGAAGAGTTCCAGTTCCTCATGTTCGGTAACAGTGTGAACGCTGTGAAGCATGCAGAGGGCATCGACGCAACCCGCTTCAAGTTGTCTGCAAACGAGGGGGCCAAGATCACGTATTCACTGCGCATCACCGGCCTGCAGAAGAATGATGCGGGCATCTATTCCTGCATGTTTAACAGTCCAAAGCATGATCAGAAAAGCCAGATGCCAGCTGGATACTACATCAGGCCTGGAGGTGCTGAAAGCACTTTCTCTCCTCCTCTGTCTCTTTGTTTTTGTATGTAATGTTGACAATAATGAAATTATAAAATCAAATAATATCCTGATAAATCTGAAAAAAGTTTTCTTTTGGAATACGTTTTCATTAAAACCCTTATAAGTACTGTAAAACAATGCCTTCGGCATCAAGGAGTGTATTTGTAACCATGTCATACTTTTTGTGAGGGAACTTTTGGACACCTGGTTCCTATCTGACCCTGCTTTCCTAATTTTTCTGAATGGAACATTTCACATCCAACCACCTTTAATGACTGCGTCTTTACCTTATAATTATACAGAAATTTTGAAAAGCTGGTAGAATTCCCCTTTTAGGGATTAGAATTGTTATTCACTCCTAAGTCTCTATCACAATATTTGCTATGTTTTTAAATGGGACCACTCAGTTTGTAATGCATTATAAACCAGGTATGTTTGTGTTTATGTTATGTATGTCTGTGTTTTGTTTTTTTTTAAATATTTTTTTCTTTTCTTCCTAGAACACCCGCCCACTTCACCACCTCCAACAGTCAAGACTCCAAAGAAAACAACAACTCAGGTCTGCCCACCTAACAATCAGCCAGTGAAAGGTATGGTATTTTGTGAAAACTGTAGAAGTTACTGTAGAAGTTTTCTGAGCATTCTGTTATTCTGGAACTTTAACAGTAGCAGATGCTCTGCTTTTAGTTGTGGTCTATGCTGAAGGTTTGGAGGAGAACATACTGGGAACTTTCTGAATGTTGCAAATAAACATTACTATATGTTTTTACATGTGTTACAGCAATCAGCAGGCACACTTTATCCACCTGTTTTTACAGAAATTAAGACAGCTTTATTCATCATATACTGAAGTGTATAAAACATTTATCATGTAGGTTGAAGATATTTTAAAATAGGATTTGAACTAAAGGGTGGGGAAAACACTTTAATTGAAAAATGTCCACTTAAAACTAGTAAATGATGCCCTGTAAACGTTTACAAAAATATAATGGGGATGTTCTTGGAATGTGAGGACATTAGAAGCGATGTCCTTTACACCGCCTGTAGGACCTTACAAAATAATGTCCGTACAGCTTTTAAAGCAATTCTGAGAACGTCTTAACATTATTTTGTTAGCTGAGTGTTGTGTATTGTGAAAATGCCTTCAAGTATTGCAATGTTGTATATCTGCCGTTTTGTCTACCATTAGTATCATGTTTGCTGTGGCTGGTTCTGTTACAGGCTGTAAACCTCTGGTGCTTTGGCCGAGTGTGGGTGTTCTTCTGGTCCTGGCAGTGGTTCTGATCTCAACACTGTATTACTTCAGCAGTAAGTACACACACTCACACACACACACTCACAGATAGAGGTAGTGGTGGGGCCTCCCACCCACCTCATATTATGGGTCATGTTATTTGTTTGCAAGAATGAAAAAGAATTAAACTGCTAGAAACAGCCCAGTGGTGACTTTTTGCTCTGCACATCTTTGTGTTTCCACTCTGTAAAACCATTATTGGTAACACTTTCTATGAATGTTGCATTTGTAAGCATCTATAAACACATTTATAACATGTTATAATGTATTCATAAGGCATTATAAACATGATTATAAATATTTTTAAAAATGAATTACATTAAATTGCACTTTGTAGCCATGTTTATTATACATTATGAATTGTTTATATAATGCATTATAAGTAGTGTTAATAACATGTTATAATGTCAGTGCCAAAGAAGTCAGTCCCAGCTTGGAGAGCGTAAAGTGAAAACAAATACCAAGCTAATGGTGGTGTACACTGACTTTCCCACATTGGGTAAAACACTGATGGCAGCTCTAGTTTAAACTCTGGCATTTGAAGCCTGTAATGTGCTTTACTGTGTATGTTTTACTGTTTCAGTAAATCCTTCAGCAAATACCTCAACTTGAAGCCTCACTCTTAACACTGGAGGAGGCTTTAGTACAGTACGCTTCACTTTACTTAGAGCGGACAAATACAACTTATGAGCTCTTATAATTTGTTATGATCAGTATTTATAATGTATTATGTTAACAATTTATAATGCATAATAAACATGGCTATAACGTGTAATGCATTTTTATAAATATTTATAGCTATGTTTAGAATGTCTTATGAATGCATTATAACATGTTATGAATGTGTTTATAGATGCTTACAAAGGTGACATTCATAGAAAGTGTTACCACATTATTTAACTGGTAACACTTTCTATGAATGGCCATGAAGCCGGCCAGCCATGAAGCACCGTTACTGACCGTCTCCGCAATCACGCTCCCAAATCAAGTTTGTAGACTTAGTTCTGAACATAGATGTTTAACATTGACAGTTTGTAATTCATCTACAAAATAAGTACAAACCCTTTTTTGGTATGTTTACAGGTGATGATCCCCTTATGCTCTACAATAATGGTCAATAAGTTAGGCTTAAGTCAGGATAACAGCTACTGCCTTTGCACAGATCTAAACTACTTCACTTTCAGTGCTAAAACATCAGTACTGAACATTTCGTTTTGTCTTCAGAACATTTTGTGTACTTCTTAACATCATGTAAAACTTTATATTTTAAAGATTTCCATTTAATGATTGATTGCAAAACATTGCTTGAAAACAAAGTTATCAGAGAACTTTGATCAAAAGAGGTGAAGTTCAAAACCCATTTCTTGCTTCCCTCTATATTTCAGAGATATTTGGCTCAGGTGGTCTTTTAGTTTTGAGTCTTGAAATTCCTTTTTTTGACTTTGTGTCAATGTGATTAATAAATTAAGAGACCAGATCATTACAGGAGACAATCAGAGCTATATTAATGCAATTATAAATGTTTTCAAACTATTTCTGAGTCATTGTATTTTTTTTAAACAACTTTCAGGCATGTTCTTTCTTTCTTCTATATTGACCTTAAAAATATCTAGATATGATCTGATACGAAAACATCAGAGATGAGGGACATGTTTGGGTTTAAACCTTTAGTGATTACCAGGTGCAGGATGTGGCCTTGCTTGTGGGTAGAGCTGCCCACCTGCTACTTCAAATCAAATGTCTAGATCTCTAATGAATTGCATCGTGTTACTATCTGATGGATTTTTAATATGTAAGTTAACGTCTGTAGATAGGAATTTTATCATAGCTTGTGGGTACAATTGATATAAGTTTTGCCATTTCCGTCAGAAAATTACTGTTTCGTTGGGAGGTTGCAATTAATAACACCAAGTGTCACTAAAAAGGTTGACTACAACATAATGAAAATTAAATTCAGTTAAATTCATCAAGAATTATAGTGTATAACCATAAGACTGGTGCATGAACAAAAAAGACGATTAAAAAACCAAAACAGTGAGAACGCAGAGTGAGAATGCATGTGTTACTATTAGCCAGTGATACATCCATAAATAAATGTTGAATGAATTAATGAATAAATGAATGAATAAACAGTGAGGAAAAAAATAACGAAATATGCTTGTTGCTGGACCACAAAAAAAAAGGAAAAATGAGTAAGAAAGTAACCTTTTGACTTCATCTGTGATCAGACTGCATGACCCTGAGCACTGAGCTAATGAAACTCCATTTCTCTCAGTTGTGCTGCAGGCGACCTCACTGATGTTGCCTTACTTTCTCTCTGACGACGTGAACAAACTCGCCTGATACAAGAGCCCATTGCAACACTGAAGCGCTGTAGAGGAAGAGAGAGGAGAAGACTAGACCACAACAAGACAGCAAATATGAAACTTGCCAACAAACGAAAGAGACTCTTTCCACTCTTCTGAAGAAGCTTCCCTTCATCAACATGTTATTTAGACACTTTTATTCCTTTTTTCCACAGACCTACACAACATCAGCTTTTTACAACTGATTTAACTTCTGTGTCTCCGGTCATCCAGCCTGAGTGAACCACTGCAGTGAACAACGTGAGACAAAATGATTTGTTGTGTTATGTATTAATAATCCTCATTTAAAACTTTATTTGATTAAACATTTTCTGGATTAAGCAATGTGGAGATGAATTTGATTGTTAATCAACTGATTTTTGAATAATTAACTGATAATTCACTGTTTGATTGATTGATTGGTTGATTGATTGATTGACTGATCGAACTACCCTCTTCCATGTCAGTTCCAATTTGATTTAAGCTACAAAAGCAGTAAAACTGGATTATTAACCACACTGGGTGACACCCATCATGGTTTATACCAGCTTGACAATGATTATCTTGTGGGCATTGTTAGATAAATCCTTTGTAATAAATAGATAAACCACCATATAAAAGGGTAGTCAATATGGGCAAAAGTACCATATCACCATTAGCAGATTTTTATGATGCATGACACGAATCAGAGTATTTCCAGTAAGCTGTAACAGACACATTGCCACATTCAAAAAGCTATGAGTTCAATTATTTTTAACTAAACTTTTAACACTGATAATAATAATAATAATAAACTACTAAAATAACTGCTTGCATAAGTTTGCGCACACTTTCAGTCAGTAAGCCCACTGGCTGAAATTACAGCCTCCAAATATTGTAGCCAGCTAACAGTCTTTCACTTCTTGATTTACGATTTTACCCCAACTTACACTGCAAAGGACTTCCAGTTCAAAAATATGGTCATTTTAATTGTTTTTCAATATATTAAATTCATTAAAAATGGTAAATGTGCATTACATTTTGTAGAAATATGTCATGTTTAAGTTTCTCTAAGCAGATATGGATTTTTTTTTTCAATTAGAAAATCAACAAAAATGTAATTTGTCCAGGGGTGCCCAAACATTCACAAACAACAAGTATATGTAGAAATCAGTATGAAGAGATGTGAGATAAAGGTCTTTCAGTGTCTGATCAAAAAAACAGAGTGTACAAATTTTGAACTAATTTATGTCATTTTGTAATAGTTTCATAGTTTTATAACCTCAATTAAATACAAATAAAAAATTATATTAACTAGCAGTTCTCAAAAGTGGGTGTTTTCATGAAAGATATAAAGTATAGTAATAGCTTGCTTAAGTATATATAGTGTAGAATATAGTTATAATTGGCTCAAGTATATATAAAGTACAAGAATGTGATGATAAAAATTTGAAGCAATAAACTTCAAAATTATTCAAAATTATAAGTAATTCCTGTACTGTACAGTACTTCATAACTTTTCACTCAGAAAGCTTGAAACATCAAATAAAATGTTAATAACCTCTAATATTTAAATTTACATTGTATATCTTATTGTATAAAACAACAAAAACTATTAGTTATTAAGATGACATTTGAATGGTGGTGTTTGTATTTAAATCTCAGAGAATGGAGTTTAGTGTTCCTTGCCTTACGTAATATAAATATATATTCCGAAACACATTTCTTTTTTGTCCTATCCAGTCCTGGCACTTTTCTGAATAAAGTGACACCTTTCTAGAAAGGTTAAGCTGTCATTTCATGAGTGTCATTTAAAGAAATCTTAAATCTGCTGGATGTTAAGGAGTGGGGTGAGCAGCTAACACACAGTCTAGTCTAAAGAGTCGACTGTTATTTGTAATGGCAGTATTTAACAGTACAACAGTTTCAGTAAACACAGCAACATTCATTGCACCATGAAGATCCTTAGTGGCTTTTAAAGACAAAACTACCCACTACACACCTGAAACAAGTCTGCATTCACCTTTCACATGTAATCACTGTATTTAGGACCCTCACTCTAAATATCAGTTCACTACAGCCTGCTTTATAGCCATGATAAATAATGATACATTTGTGTTGCTAAATCTTAGATGATAAAGATTGAGAATGTAACAAATAAATGATAAAATACAAAAATAACAATTGTGAGTCTGTAAACTATATCTATTTACTCAGTTCAAGAAACAAAGACAAAGAGAGAGAAGAAAGAGTGAAAAACGGGGTGGAGAGAGGAAGAGGGGGTCGATGTGCTCTGTTCCTTAAAGTTCTCATCTTCTTCTTCTAGCAATCCGTGGAAATCTGAAAAACTCAACAAGAATCAAGAAAATGTTTGGACTCCCCACCGGACCTCTGCTCCTTTTATTCCTGTTTCATGGTAAGATCATAGTTTTCTTACTCCAGATATATATTTCTATCAGAGCTATAAGCGGCTTCTAAATTGAATTTTAAAGGTGTGAGACAGACTGTCAGAGGGCGGCCGCTACATTTTTTTGGACAGTTTAATCAATCAATTTAAAACCACCAGCTTTGATTTCACATTATTCATCATTAATGGCAGAAACAGTTTATATAGTCGCTTGAGTTGAAATATTCAAATGGTGAAATGGATTTGTCTTCATCACAATGGGCTATGTTTTTTTTTATATATAGATTGATATAGACTTTATGCAATTCAGAACACCTCCAATTTCCAAAAAAAATTGAGATGCTGTGCAAAATGTAAATTAAAATAGAATGCAGTGATGTGCAAATCATTTAAACCTGATATTTAATTGAAAATAGTACCAAGACAAATATTGAAACTTTTTGAAATTGTATGTTTTGTATTTTATTGTATATGCCCATTTTGAATTTGATGCCAGCAGCACGTTTTAAAAAAGTTGGGACGTGGCAACAAAAGGCTAGTAAAATTATGTAATGCCAAAAAACATGCCTGGTGGAATATCTCACAACTAATTAGGTTGATTGGAAAGATCAGTTACATGATTGGGTATAAAAAGGTGTACCAAACTGTGAAAGACTGAGGGCAAATAGTGCAACAATTCAAGAAAAGATTTTTCTAAATAAAATACCGAAGAACTTGGGGATTTCATCATTTTCGGTACACAATATTATTAAAAGATTCAGAGAATCCAGAGAAATCTCTGCTTCCTTCACACTATGGCCTTTGGCACACCCAAATGCAATCACATGTGTTGAAAAAAACAAAACAACTATTAATTATCAAGATGGCAATAGATTGTTGGGTTAGCAAACCAACAGACAAGTAGCTCCAGTCACTAAATAATGCTTATTATAACTGCAAATCAAACATCACAAACAAAATATGAATGAATTAATATAGCCGCAAGCGGCAATCTGTGGGGTTCAAGCACCAAGAAGTCAGTGAGACCATATTGTCAGTATAAGATGCAGCAAATTGTTGGACTTTTAACAATGGCTCATGGCAGCACTGCAGTTTATTGGTAGGGATCTATAATGAACAAAGCACCATTTCAGGATCTAATTCACAACTTTCAGTGATTGTTTGTGCTTATTGAGAAATATAACTGAAAATTAATTCAGAATACAGCCTCATCTCAAGTTCGGTCACAATCAGACGTATATAACTCAAATACCCACACCAATTACAGCACCACACACTCTTTTTTCTTTTCTCTCTTCTTCTTTTTTTTTATCTCTTTTTCTAACTGCCAGCCTCCCACCCACATCTGTAGGTATTGTGTACACTGTAAATAATGTTTGGTTTTTAATTAGAAGTTACCTTGTTATCTTCAAATTTAGATTTTAGTGAACTTCAAATAAGTTAACAGAATGTAAGACAGAGATTATTGTTCTATTTGCTATTTGATGTCGTCAAAATGTCACAGCAGATGTGCTGATTGTGGTGTCCTTGATGTCACACAGCTACCAGTGTTTACTGAGAGAGAGCATCAGGCATTCAAGTGGTCTTCTATTTGTGATTTGTGTAAAATAAATTATTTTCCAGTGATGCTGTGATGATGTAACTGAAAAAAAAATCTTTTTTAGACCCAAAGCCAGAAACCACAGTGATCCCAACAACCAGAGCAACACCTGAGCACTTCACGACTAAAAGCAGTGTCATGTACACATAAAAATCAAGGATTATTATTATTATTATTATTATTATTATTATTATTATTATCATACTGTAGCAGTGTTTGTAGTAATAATGTTGCTATTTGTGGTTTCAATAAAAAAACAGAGTAAATTCATTGCTGTAGGGACGACTCTGGGTTGTGAGCTCGTGATTCTGATTCCTTTGGCTGCAGGCAATGGTCTTCTTCTCATCCTGCTGATCATCACCATTCTTTACTGTAACCATTCAAGAAAAGATTTTTCTAAATAAAATACCAAAGAACTTGGGGATTTCATTATTTTCGGTACACAATATTATTAAAAGATTCAGAGAATCCAGAGAAATCTCTGCTTCCTTCACACTATTGCCTTTGGCACACCCAAATGCAATCACGTGTGTTGAAAAAAACAAAACAACTATTAATTATTAAGATGGCAATAGATTGTTGGGTTAGCAAACCAACAGACAAGTAGCTCCAGTCACTAAATAATGCTTATAATAACTGCAAATCAAACATCACAAACAAAATATGAATGAATTAATATAGCCGCAAGCGGCAATCTGTGGGGTTCAAGCAACAAGAAGTCAGTCACTGTAGCCTTTGGCACACCCAAATGCAATCACTCCTTTTTGCCAATCTGCTTTGCGACCCATTTTCCACACATCGAAAGAGACATTCACTGCACTTTCAATTATACATAGGGTTTAAATGATTTGCATGACATTGCATTCTGTTCTTATTTATGTTTTTCACAACCTCCCAACGTTTTTGGAAACAGGGCTGTATTAAAAAAGATTGATGTCTAGTTTACACATCTAATATATAAATCTGCATGGTAAAAGTCAATGTGTTAAAAAAAACCAAAATGATTATTAATTATCAAGACGGCAATAGATTGTTGGGTTAGCAAACCAACAGACAAGTAGCTCCAGTCACTAAATAATGATTATTATAACTGCAGATCAAACATCACAAACAAAATATGAATGAATTAATATAGCTGCAAGCGGCAATCTGTGGGGTTCAAGCACCAAGAAGTCAGTGAGACCATATTGTCAGTATAAGATGCAGCAAATTGTTGGACTTTTAACAATGGCTCATGGCAGCACTGCAGTTTATTGGTAGGGATCTATAATGAACAAAGCACCATTTCAGGATCTAATTCACAACTTTCAGTGATTGTTTGTGCTTATTGAGAAATATAACTGAAAATTAATTCAGAATACAGCCTCAGTTTGTCATTCTGTATATATATTTCAAGTTCGGTCACAATCAGACAATAACTGATATATTTTTAGCCCAATTTGTTCAATTCTTGCAGCCACACTGTGCTTAACAAGTCATGATGCTTTTAATAATAGTTTATTCCCAGACTCCACAGATTGTTTTAAGACCAATTTTGAGGTAATTTAATAAAGAAAATGCAAAGAGTAGTAAGAAAACACATTTTCTAACTTTTAGCAATTGAGGAACCTTTTCTAAAAGACTTGTGTTTCATCAAAATAAGGCAGGCTAAACTGATTGATTCATATTATAAAGCCATACTGGGCTTAAAAGGTTTTTTTTTTAATAATTGTTGAGAATAAGACATCACCGGTTGTTTTAAGTGTGAGAGAATGCAATAAAAATCCAGGGAGGAATATGAAAACCTTTCAGTCTTTGGTGTTTTTTTTTTAAATACTTGCACTGGCAAAATTGTCAGGCTCAGTGCAATATAATACATTCAGAGACTTTCTGTGCCTCAAGATAAATATAGTAAAGCTTGGAACTGTTTGTATGCATTTACTGCTGAAGCTCCATTTAGTGACCAAACAAAACACAGCCCTGCCTGATTCTGTGAACAAGAAGGGCTCAAATATTTCCTGTGCAATTTTGAAACATGCTTACATTAGCAAGGTTTTAGGTCTTAATAAGATGTGCAGTTTAAAACCATTATTGTTCCTTTATTTAAATCAAAGACAGAAATGTTAGAAATTCTAACATTTTAATAAAGTCACATTAGATTAAATATTGTAGTGGCCTATTGAGGCCAATTTAAATAAAACTTCGCTTGCTCACTCAGATCATAATTTTGTTCATTCTTCCCAAATTTTGTCAAAATCAAAGAAACATTAATGAATTAATGGCCCCTTAAGTCAGAAAAGGCCTGGCTGAATAGATTGATGGCTTGCAGCCATTATGTGCATTAAAGTCAATTTTTTAAAATAATTATTTACCTACAGACTCCCCAGATTGAAAGTCCAAAGATTAGTTCTTAAAGCTCATTTTTTCAAACTTTGAACAATTGCAGAACAATTTTAAAGAATTTTAAAAGACATAAATTGGAAAAAAGGGAGATCATTTACTTTTATTCAAGATAAAACTAAAAGGATTTATTCTTGATTCAATACTGCCACCTCATGGCCAATTGGGGTCAAACCTGATAGGCTATTAGAAAGTGCTGATATTGACAAATCATTCTATTTTTCAGATGATTGGCCAATGCTAAGCCCTTCAAATGCCTGCTGAGACCTTATTGGCCAATGGCAGCAATATTTGTCCAGTGACTGAGTTGTTCTTAACACCTCACTTATAAAATATCCCAAAGATGCAGTATTTCAGCTTAATTGGCAAAGCTGTTGGTGAGAAACAGTTTCTTTGGTTAGAATTGCAGCCTCTACTGAAGAACTGATGTAAATCTATGTGGGCTTCCTCATGAGAATTGGCCAAAGCAATCGTAATCTGCAAGGTGTGAATTAAGCTAAACCAGGAGGGCTTAATTGGCATGTGGTGACCATATTATTTACAACTATGCAGATTTGAACTAATTCATGATCTTCAGACTCCCGTGAACATTTTGAGCCCAAGCTTGTGTATATCTTAAAAACCTCAGAGTAGTAGAAATATGTAGGTATCACATATTTTGCCACTTAGATTCAAAATTTCAGGGGTGGGGGCAGTGAGGTTTTCATGTGAAATACATCAAGGATTACGTAGAAACAAGAATTTTGACTGTAGACCTCATGGTTTTGCAGATAAGGGCCAAAATGTAAAATTTTGCTCTATAGTGGAGTCATTTCACATCCCTAAAAACTAGCAAAAGCAAAATGATCAGTTTTGTTTTATTTTAATATTTGTACATGATTTTATTTGATCAGGTGCTTGTTCTGAGACAATGAAGGAGGGTGAGGATAAAGACATTCCATGTGACCCAAAGTCATCAGGAACTGTGTGGTGGTTTCGGCTGATAAACAACGCACAGTTAGAGTTCATAGCATCTTTCTCCAGTTCTGGGGACAAAAAAGTTGGAGACCTGGGCAGCAAGTTTGACCATCAGAAGATGAAGTCTTCAAAAATTTTAACACTGAAAGGTTTCAAAAAGGAGACGGACAGTGGCTCCTACAGCTGTGCGACCATCAACAACAACAAGCTGCTCTTTGGCAGTGTGACCAGCCTACGAGGAACGCCAGGTGATGAGCTGCACATTTAGCGCACTAACCATAACTCAAATACCCACACTAATTACAGCACCACACACTCTTTTCTTTTCTCTCTTCTTCTTTTTTATCTCTTTTTCTAACTGCCAGCCTCCCACCCACATCTGTAGGTATTGTGTACACTGTAAATAATGTTTGGTTTTTAATTAGAAGTTACTTTGTTATCTTCAAATTTAGATTTTAGTGAACTTCAAATAAGTTGACAGAATGTAAGACAGAGATTATTGTTCTATTTGCTATTTGATGTCGTCAAAATGTTACAGCAGATGTGCTGAATGTGGTGTCCTTGATGTCACACAGCTACCAGTGTTTACTGAGAGAGAGCATCAGGCATTCAAGTGGAATTCTCTTTGTGATTTGTGTAATATAAATTATTTTCCAGTGATGTTGTGATGATGTAACTGAAAAAAAAATATTTTTTAGACCCAAAGCCAGAAACCACAGTGGTCCCAACAACCAGAGCAACACCTGAGCACTTCACGACTAAAAGCACAGAATCATGTAAACCTAAAGATCAAGGATTATTATTATTATTATTATTATTATTATCATCATCATATTGTAGCAGTGTTTGTAGTAATAATGTTGCTATTTGTGGTTTCAATAATAAAACAGAGTAAATTCATTGCTGTAGGGACGACTCTGGGTTGTGAGCTCGTGATTCTGATTTCTTTGGCTGCAGGCAATGGTCTTCTTCTCATCCTGCTGATCATCACCATTCTGTACTGTAACCGTAAGTACTTTCAGCAGTATCACTGGACTACACAGTGTTTCTATAATTATCCATAGAGTACATGGTGTTTTGATGAAATCTGAACCACTTTCTATACCACACTTGTCTCTTATCATAATCACCTCACCTTCACGAAAAGATCTATTAATCCGAAGTACAAAAGCACATATGTGTATATTAGTGCAGTGAGTTTGGCTCAACCCAACACATTTTATTGTTTGCTAAATAATTTTAAAAAATATCTGAACAAAATAATTTTTTTATATGAGCAACCTGCACATCTCTCCTCCAAATGAAAACAGAAACTTTGTTTCAAACACCTGCTGTTTATGAACAATTCAGCCGAAAGTGGCACAAGTACAAATGTAGCGAGCAGGGTTAACTGTAACACACTACAGGCTAGTTATAACAGTCACTAAATATCTGGTAAATCAATGCAAAACACAATTAATCAAATACAGTTCAAGCTTCCCAACATAAACAGGCTACAAAAAATACATTCATAAAAATATGAAGAGGCTCTACAGGAGAGCTGGGCTCAAACTAACGCTTTTAATTACTTTTCTTGACAATTTTAGAAGTATTTCAGTGAGATTAATAATTTCACATCTCTGTTGAAAAATGAAGACATGAACTTTGTTTCCAGCACCTGCTGTTTATGAAGAATTCAGCCACAGTAACAGAAGATGGGGTTAATTATAACAGAGCGGCCAGTTTTAAATCTGTAGAAAAGTCTGGTAAATCAATGCAAACACAATTAATTCAAAACAAGTCTATGCTGTTTGAACCAGACAAGCCTTCCAACCTAAATATATATATATAAAAATATGTTCATCAAAATAAAGACTTCTGTAAGTATCAAATGTATTTTTGACCACAAAGTTGAAGAGCAAATATCAGCATAATAACACTGAAATATATTTACATGACATCTGTGGTATGATTTGATGAATCAGTGCATAAAAACACCCAAAGACCTCACCGTTTTTAATGTATACAATAGGAAATGGACGTTACTGTCCTACTCTACTTTGTGAGGCTGAGCTGTAACAGCATGTTAAAACTAACCCCGTCGTGTGGAGGCTGCGCTTTAGCCTGGCTAGCTCTCACTGTGCACTATTTACACGCTTCAAACCAGAGCTGTATTACAGCCGCCAAGAAGGGAAATAAAATATTGTATTTGAGACTTTTATATATAAAGCTTATGATCAAAAAGTAACTTTAAAATCACAAAAAACGGTCTTCAGGGCGAATCTGGAGAAATCTCTGACCGCTGTCAAAATTTACAAATGACATTGCTATGGAAATACATCATGACTAAAAGCATCTTCTGTATTAAACAGCCATGTTACATTTTATCTTGTGTTACTTTGTGCCCCACTTTCCTTTTATCTTTTCATGTTGATCAAAAGCCGCATGCTTAAGAGTGATTTTACATACAAAAGGCACTGCACACTGCACTGTGAATGGAAGTATAGAATTACAACATGAACACAATGCCGCAAAAATATACTATCCCAAAAAGCTGAACATGCAGTTAATGCAATTAATGCATTTATTAGCTGCTATATTTCAGTATCTCTATCACCACAATACAGCTGTGCTCTCTGATCTCCACAAGGTATGAGAACAAGACAATGCCCACATCATTACAAAAGAGAGTAAGTATTTATTTTACAGTTTAATTTGCAGTATTTTTCTGTAATATAGATTCATAATGTAATGAATGTCTTTAATTTTAATCTTTCATATCTGCAGCTCCCAAAGCAAACCAGCAGGCCACAGGCCTCTGTCTCATCAGACCGAATTGTAGTCTCTGTGATGACAAACCAACTAATGCCATCTCCTATAGAGAGCGATGCGGTGAACATGGTTAACTTGTATATTTCAAAAATACTCATCACTTTCAAAACAAACCTGACGGCCCTCAAATTTGCCCAACAAGCTTTCAGAAATGTTCCTCTCAAACTGAATTTCTGGGTTAACTGAGCTTCATTATTCTATAGTTGTATTATTTCTGTTTCAATTTTACATTTTACCTTTTGAACCTTTTTAGACATTATAGCAAATGTAGTAATTCATAGAGAGCTTCTATCATTTGTTCATATTTTACGTTAATTGAAATTTCATGCTTTTCAGGATTTTGCAGTATACATACACTGATCACTGATGACCACCTCCTTATTTCTATGCTCATTGTCCATTTTATCAGCTCCACTTACTATATAGGTGCACTTTGTAGTTCTACAATTACAGACTGTGGTCCATCTGTTTCTCTGCATACTTTGTTAGCCCCCTTTTACCCTGTTCTTCAGTGGTCGGAACCCCCATGGACCCTCACAGAGCAGGTACTATCTGGGTGGTGGATCATTCTCAGCACTGCAGTAACCCTGATGTGGTGGTGGTGTGTTAGTGTGTGTTGCGCTGGTATGAGTGGATCAGGAGTTTTTAAACACCTCAGTGTCACTGCTGGACTGAGAATAGTCCACCAACCAAAAATATCCAGCCAACAGCGTCCTGTGGGCAGCGTCCTGTGACCACTGATGAAGGACTAGAGGATGACCAACACAAACTGTGCAGCAGCAGATGAGCTATTGTCTCTGACTACATCTACAAGGTGGACTGACAAGGTAGGAGTGTCTAATAGAGTGGACAGTGAGTGGACACAGTGTTTAAAAACTCCAGCAGCACTGCTGTGTCTGATCCACTTGTACCAGCGCAACACACACTAACACACCATCACCACATCAGGGTTACTGCAGTGCTGAGAATGACCCACCACCCAAATAGTACCTGCTCTGTGAGGGTCCATGGGGGTCCTGACCACTGAAGAACAGGGTAAAAGGGGGCTAACAAAGTATGCAGAGAAACAGATGGACTACAGTCTGTAATTGTAGAACTACAAAGTGCACCTATATAGTAAGTGGAGCTGATAAAATGAACAAGGAGGTGGTCATTAGGTATTTAGGAACGTGTATGTGCTTTCTTCTCTTTTTTCCTTTTTTTTAACTGATAACCCACTTGGAATTATACAGGTTGTGCTGGTAAAATTATTTTGTGTATTTTTAAGTATTCATAATTGACATGATATGATGTATTGGTAAAAATGAATAAAATTCCATTTTGCACAAACACAAGCAGGTCTAAATGCATTTTTCCTCCCAAAAAATCTTCACAATTTCCCAAATGATTTCAAAAAGCATTGTTTCCTTTACACCAATAAAATACTATCTTGGGATTTCCTTTGTTAATTTTTTTTACATTTATCTGCATTTTCCCCTTTAAAACTTCCTTAATTCTTTCATGTGTTATGTGTGGTTATGTTGGAAAAAAAACACTGCATGTCCTGCCCAGGAAAAGTGATGACCATAATGTAGACCAATTTCTTTTTTTCTTTTTTGAAAATGAAATGGAATGAAACCAATCACCATAATCAGCACACATCTTCATTTTCATTATTTCTCTGCTTCTCCATGATTCAGTTCTCTTGAAAAAGATGCTAACTGATATAAATTGTCAGACTGAGAGCTGCTTTTTGGGGCATCTGCTTGAATGCAGCACAGCAGATGAAAAGTTGGAGCGCAGAGGAAACACCTTGCAGGCCTTTGCAAAAGAAGAACCGCATGTACAGTACTGTGCAAAAGTCAGAGACCACCCTTTCATTTATTTTTCAAGGAAAGCATTAAAAGTTCTTCATTTTATCAGTGTCAGAAAAGCACATACTTAACATACACAGAACATCCTCAACAGCTTAATTTGATATCTAATGTTCCAGTGTTAATTTGCCTTTTTTACAGCTTCCATCCTTTCAGGAGATTTGCTTTCAGTTTTTCGAAGAAATCTGCAGGGATATTTCAGAGTTCTACTGCAAATGTTCTTTCCCTCCCTTCTTGACAGCTACACATCCTTTCAGACCCACAGTGTTGGGATGTGGTTCTCACAGTGTATTGAAGGACAGAAACACCTGTGGATCATCGTCACAGATGAAAGCTTTGAGTATTCTTTATCTTATGGTGACAATTTTGGGGATCTACCAGGTCTTGCACGATGGTTAATCCCATTTTTCACGTTTAAACTCCTTTGGCTTTTCTTCCTGATGCAAGTAGATTATTTTAGATCTAATCACCTCAGAAATTTCTCATTTAGCCAGTTAAAATGCACACGAGAAAAGAACTTTGCAAGGCAGCGAAGGTGTGTTTGCGTAGCTGTTTGTGTGAATGTTTGTGTCTCTTTGAAGGAGAACAGAATGTCAGTAACTCTACTGGAAGCAGCTTTTGTTGGGAGGACTCAGCTGTAACTGGTTGGTCTTAAGACTGGAAGGAAAGAATAATTAATGTGGCAGTAGAGCATGAAAGTAAATACTCTAAATTAAACACAGATCAATTTGGTATACTGTTAGACAGTGTTGGAGGATTTAGTATAATATTCTGTGTATTAATGACTGTTCTGACTGGAAATTGAATAAACGAAAGGGTGGTCTTTTGCACACATTTAGGCTCACAACTCAGGCACTGACCACAAACAATACACACTTCATTTTAGCCCTTAGTGAAAATGACCCTTCACAACTCTGTCTGCATTCAGTCTTAATAGACACAAACAAATGAAAAGACACAGAAACAATATCAAACATGTCCATTGACTTTTTTTATTTAATCAGAAGAAAATCCCTCCTCCATAACGCTGTCCCTGGGTTAGAATAAGAGCATTGCACTTCAAAAGAAAGGCACGATATTGTATAGACGATATCACCACGAGAGGAAGACTAAGTCTATCTTGATCACTTTGGCAAAACAAGACCTACAGCAGGGGATGAAACAACATGGCATGTTTTTGGAAGACTTTTGGGACTGAAGGTGAATTTCATGTTTAGAAAATACAACATGCAGTAACGGTCTGGCTGTTCTTGCTGTAGTGCAGATGTTTAAATGAGTGTCGGTTCAAATGAAAATGAAACAAAGACTCATAATTGGTATGCCACATCCTACTCAAGCTGAGAACATCGCGAGCGTGGTGTTGCTACAGGCCAAGGTCAGGTGGTATTACAAGATTCATACTTTCAAACCACATGACAGCTTTACTAGTGCTAAAAGGAAGTTTATTTGATTGCCAGTAATCTCTTTTACTCCTCCTGCTTTTTTCAGTGCTAAGATATAAGAGCCATTCTGCAAGCAACAGTGAGAGACACTATATCTTGCAAGCGCACTTCAGAAAACCAAGACAACCCTTTGAAACAAGATACACAGGAAAGCCCTTCTGCACAAATATATTCAGACATCATGTAGCCACAAAGAACTACATTCAACAGCATTCAATCATCAACATCATAATCCAAAAGACCATTTACTCAAACGCCTTTAATACAGCTCTCTACTGTAAACTAGAGGATGTAAACTAGAACGGAAGTGCTGTACACTAGTGTCTCCAGGTGCATGGCTTTTCAAACAGCTATATAAAACTTTTTTTTGTGTACAACAAGTCTGCAGAGATACCCCTGATACAAAATGAATTCATGCAGTATACTAGGTTTAATCCAGATGGCACTTCTTGAAGTGATACTAAACTAATACAGTGATGAAGGGAGCACCTCAGTGTCCTTCCATCACTACAAACACAGGGTTGAACAGATACTCCGTCAGTAATAAAGATATTTATCCCCTTTTTACCTTTACCTTTATACTTCAAATATAAATCAAAAACAACAAAAAAAAACATTCTGTCATGGGTTAAACCAAGCAAGGAATTACTCAAAACACATACTTCTCAAACTTCACAGAGTCCGCTTTGCTGATTTAGGATCAGTTCTTGTCTGGCGAAGCTGATCCCAGATCAGAATTCTTACTTTGGGAAGACTGACAAATATGGGCCGATGCATGTTGGTGTTTAAAGTGTCTGTCTGCGTAAAACTGTGCAGTTAAATTTCTATACACCTTTCTACCATAACAGATAATACACATTAGTATGAGCAGCTCCTTTGATTGGCATCTCTATGTGTGGCAGGGAGATGTAGTGTGGCAGCAACCTGAAAGACAGCACGCAGAACTAAAGTCAGTAAATGAAGTGACTCATTTTTCTATACTATTTGTCTATGCTTTACATTAAATTTTTGATTAGATGTTCTATTAGTTATTTGTCCCATTTTACTAACATGAGATCTAGCTCTTTCCGCCTTTCTTTGTGGGGGAAGTGGACACCACGTCTGTGCTCGGCTGACCAGAGAGGTGACCTGACGCTGGCACATCATCTACTGCAGGTTTCTGAGACAGAGGAAGATTTATCAATATAGACAAGATGCATTTCTAATGAAATATTAAGTCCAAATGCAACACAAATTCAACACATTGACTTGACGTGGCATCAATAAGCAATGTGGTTACACAGTAAGATGTTATAGCTCTTTCTTGTGATCACGTGCACTAATGCAGCATGCCTCGTCAGCCACGAAGTGTAAATAGCAGAACATTCAAGCAGTTACTTTAGGCTGTTGGTTTAAGATGGAAATGGAAGAGTCAAATTTTGTCACATATAAAGTTCTGAATAGAAAGAAATATTAACGGCATAATCAAATCATTCCTACCAGTAACAGATTTACAGAGACTGTCCATCACAACTTCAAACAGTCTTGCCCCCCCAAAAGTTCTCAGCATATGTGAATCTTGAAAAAGCATTCTAGGAAGCCCCTCACGAAACTTGCAAGAGTGCTCGACTGCTGGTATTAAGGTTTAAACCCAAATTGTGCAATATGCCAACCACATAAAGAGGTCCTAAAGAATTCAACTCCTTACACTCATTCTCAGTATCCTGACTCTAAGAGCAATTCACAGTCTGATCGATTGTAGCACAGTGTGATAGCCAGCGCACATTCAGAAGAGGTTTTCAGACTCGCTGAAGAAATTGCTTTTAAATCTATGTTATTAGCGATTCAGAAATTATATGCTGTTAAGACGTGAAAGATAGCAGAGACTCCCATACACATAAGATGCACCTTTCCTTTGGGTGCATGCAGTGCTAGGCTGCACACACATTGAAGAAGGTCTCTACCAGCCTGGCCTAGACTGTTGGTACTGATACCTACCAGCATACTTGTGACAGGTGTTCACTAATCTCTATGATAACTCAAATAAAAAAAAAAGATGTGTTATTCTAAAAAAAGCAGCAGCTGTTGTAACATACTGCCAAAGCAGATGAAAACATGACGTTCATGCATAATATTTCATGCAGGCCTGAACGGGTAATGAGAAGAAGATATATATTCTAAATATGTGGGTATATACTTTAAATACTCTCTTAAAATATTATACAGATTTGTCTTTATTTTGGAGATCTGACTTTGCCTGTGGTTTCACAACATCCAGATCACATCCACAGTCCTGGATGATGAAGAGATCAGATTATGTTTGTTTAATTTTTGGTACTGAATATAAGACCAACTTGTGTCTAGTCCATCATTACTCTTCTTCTCATAATATTACATTGCCATTGTGTTTTGCCGCAGATAAAACCTACCTTTGGTTTAGACTTTGACTTTCCACCCTTAACCTGAAACCAGACAGAGACCCCTGAAACAATCTAATAAGAACTAAAAAGGTCCATTGGGGCAAATCCTAGTGTGTTTACTCACAGGTAGACACACTTGCTGGGTCCGGTTCTGTGATGGTGGTAGTACATTAATTGTGGTACATCTATAATTAATCAATCTAGGGCAGTGAACATTAAGTAAAAGTGGACTCTAACTTAAAAAAAACACAGAGATCAGCAGGAATCATGAAGGACTGTCCAACTGGCACTTTCAAGTGGAATGTATCTGCGAAAAACTGTAATCTCATTAATCTGCCCATTTTAACCGTAATGTGTATAAATGAATGTATAAGCACCTTTGGTTTGCTTTCTTTTGGTTTTGTCTCAGGCAAGTCTGGGAGCAGTGTGGTTGCCAGTTTGTCCAGTACTGGTCCTGATGTCTGCAAAAAAAAAAACAAATAAATGCAACAGCTATCAGTTGGCTTTCTTCATACGTTTAGGGTCATGCATTACATGCAAATTCATGCTGGTGTCGAGTACCGCTGGTGCAGAGTGGGTAGGTGGTGTCTTTGCTGGAGGGGCGTGTGGATGTGAAGAAGGTGGGGCCACAGCAGCAGCAGGTGCCGCTACTGGAGGAGCAGAGAAGTCACTGGATAGCGCATCAAGCGCTGCTGACTCATCCATAGATGTCTGTGAGTAATACAGAAAGAAAGTCATTTCAGACAAGCTAAAAGAAGCTAGGCCTCATTTGCACCTGACCACTTCAGGGCCCCTTTTCATGACAATTAACATATGAGGATTTATAAAGGCTTATTCTAACAAGCATAAGCTGTCCTAACACTGATGCCTGTTGCTTTTTGGAATAAGCCTTTACAAATGTTAATGAAGGTTTATGTAGGTTGTCATAAAGGCTTGTAGGTGTCATAGCCTTATGATTACTGCCCCATCAGTGAGGGGTACCAAACATTCTTACATGACTATTAACCTGTCACTACAACGAAGAGTCAGCACTCCATGATTTTGGAATTACAGCGCTGATTGTCAGTTATAGCTGAATAATGGGCATTCAGCCAGTTAGGATTCACCTCTATAACTGTTTTTGCAATTGTAATTTTTTTCCATCATTTTGTGCTGCTTATACATCTGAACACCACAAAACACTGAAAACATCTCTGTAGGTAAGAAATACATTACCTGCTTGGGTGGGACATTTGCCTTAGCTTTGGCCTTAGCTTCTGCAGCCGCCTTTGGAGATGAACAGTTTAAATGAATGAGAAGCACTCTACATGTACAGTCTGATAACTGCTAGTATATCTAATGTGTGAGCGCAGTGCCGAAACACTGAGTACCTTGATGTCTGCCTCTGTGGGCCGATAGTCAGGTGGAAGGGTGTCGTCTCTCTCACCAGCCTTAGTGATCTTCTCTTCTACTGCCTCCTTCTCCTGAGGTAGTTCAAAGAGACGACATTTGAGACTCCAATAGATTCATATAGCTATGAAATCTCTCAATTTAAATGCACCTGATGCTGTTGTCCTTCTATTAAGATGTGAAAAATACCTCTTGGAGCAGGCTTGTAACACACTCACCTCACATACTAACTCACTTACTCAAGTTTAGAAGGTAAAAAGTTCTCCACAAGGGGGCGCCATTAGCAGTCAAATAGTTTTTGTTGCCTCATAACATTACAGACTATGTGTCAAGCAAGTTCCAAGCATTAAAATAATAATGGTAATTGATGTTTATTCTGTGCAAATGTAGCAGAAGGTGCTTTAGGAATAGTGGGCAGAATTACCTTAACAATGTCTTTGGGAGCGACTGGCACTGGCTGCGGCGCAGGGCGAATGTCCATCAGTGTGTCTGAGAGAGCGTCCATTGCTGAAGCTGTACCTTCTGACAACTAAAACAAAACAGGAATCATATATATGTATGTAATATGCACCCTGTGTATGTGCATGTAGATGAGAGAAATGTATCTATTTACTTGTCTGTCAACTTTTGGCGGGGCTGTTACAGCAGAATGGACCTTAGATGCAGCTGTGGGTGCAACAAAGTCACCTGCAAGCTCCTCTAGGGCAAAATCCACTGAGCTCTAGAAGCAGAGAGTGAGTGTATTAGCAGAGGACACAACCAACAGTATGCTCTGCATTAGGATAAGATAATGGAATAAAGCTGACCATTGTGGTTGTTACAAAAAGATGCTTAAATGAAATTACACCAATTTTTGTACTTAATTCAATTGTTGAGATAAGTCATTCAAAGCAGTATGATGTGAAATGGGGCAGTCTAGGAAAGGCTTCTCTACAGTGGTGGTAAAAAGAACTGGAGACACAACGTCCACAACGCAAATATAGCTATTTGTTTGCTAAAAAAGAAAAAGAAATAATTTAGGCCAAAAGCTTATCTCAGAACTATCAAATGTCTCAGGCACCAGAGAATGTATTCATAGCCATGTCGTGTTATATCTTTCAGAGTTAACTTTAACTACTTTGGATGTCTGGTTCCTATCACCACTGTTGTGAAAAATTCTGACTCGGTAAGTTTCTCTCAAATGACACATTCGAATGGCACTGTTTACATCTTAATAATATAATTTTGCAATTTTTTTGGGAAAATGAACAGGATTCCCCTTTAACATGACTTACATCTGCAGGGGGAGCTGAGGGAGGAACGGGTGCCTGGACTGCAGGAGCGACTGAAGAGCTGGTGAAACCTCCTGACAGAATATCCAAAGCTTCAGCTGAGTCCAAGGAGGGCTGGCAAAAAAACATAAACGTTTTGTCATAAATGCTCTGAAAAGCTCAAATGCTAAGGTGCAGTCAGCTATTTGAGTTACAGATTACCTCCTTTGGGGGGGCAGGGTACTTCTTGGATGCCTCCTCAGAGAATCTGTAGCCTGGTGGCAGCGTGTCCTCTCTCTCACCCACACGCACACCCTTCTCTGATGTCAGATTCTTCTCCTAATCATATAAACACACCACACAAACATTACTATACACTTTAAAGGTAGAAATTCAATACATGTAATGTAAAGTGTGCTAAAACAAACATATTGAATACATCAATAATGTCCTCAGGTCTGAGTTTAGGAGATTCTGGAACTGGTTTTGCAGTAGGCAGTGTGTCTCCAAGTGCGCTGAGAGCATCCAGAGACATTGGGTCTCCCTGGGGATGACAAATAATCATTTTTTAATGTAGTGGTAATGGAAATCATTACATTACAGTGCAGAAGTTGACAATCTAGTTAGATCTGGAGAAAGGACTGAGAAGGCAGCAAAGCATGTAAACGGGTCAATGACATGATGTGCATGTGTACCAATCCATTATTTTCCTATGAAATAATAAAATAAATACATTGTTTATGTCACCACATTTTCAGGGCATAAAAATGAAGTTCATTTTAGTCATTTATACCTCCCAAAGTCCAAAAACTCCAGGTGTTATGACTGTCCAAAAACTTGAATATATACCTTAGTTCAAAAGCAAAGGTTTATTTGGGTGTCCAACTAGTTTATACATGTTTTTAGTTGCAGTAAATAACTTTCTAATATATAATATTTTTATTAATGTGCCACCTGGCAGTGCCTGCATGGTAAAAATTACATCCTAATAAAAGCTAAGAAACAAATAATAACACATTAAATTGAAGGGATGTAGATTATCTCCCAACATTAAAAAAAAAAAAAAAAAAATTTCTTAAGAATATATTTCTTAGGAAATATATCTTGGTATTTGTGTCTCTGTGAAGCTTTTGACATGTTTTTGAGAAGGCAGGTTCTTGCTGATATAAAATATCCTTTTTAATAAGTATATATACTGACTGCAAGAAAACTGTTCATAAAACAGCAACAAGTTACTGTTCATCTTCATATGCAAATTAAACTAAGAAAGAAAAATATCTGATTAAGAAGACATATTAAGGCATTTACAAATACTCATATGAACAGCTATGCACAACTATTTAAATATAAGCTGAACACACTTCAGCATTTGTAATACCTCATCTGAGGTTGGTCCCACAGTGCTTTTAGGAGGAGGGGGGCCAGGAGGAGCAACAGAAGCTACCTACAGAATGCCGTAAGTGACACACACATAAAAGTACACATCATTACAAACAACAGAACAGCACTTCAACACATCCTTAAGCACATCTACTGCCTCCTACTGGTCATGATTACACAATTCAAAACTCAACTAGAAACAACTAGAAATACAAATACCTTTTTGGCTTGGGCAGGAGCCACAAAATCACCTGCTAGTTGTTCAAGAGCTGACAAGTCCTCTATTTTAGGTTGCTGGAGAAATCAAAGATTCAGAGAAATAAAGGAAGAAACAGATAATAAAAATGATAAGACATTGTTCCCAATGAATAAAAATGATCATTTTGTGGAATGGTAATAGGTCTAGATTGGAAGAAAGTCATTTTGATGAAGTTATCTGGTGGCTGACCTGTTTGGCAGGGGCAGAGGGAGGAACAGGGGCCTGGACTGCAGGAGCTACAGAGGGGATGGTGAAATCTCCAGAAAGAATATCCAGAGCTTCAGCTGAGTCCATGGAAGGCTGTAAGTGGGGGCACATCCATCGGTAAGCAATAACATCAGTCCCAAAACAAATCATGAGAATTACATTACATTCTAAAATTACATTTTATGAAGCAAACACAATCACTCAAACTCAGAATAAAAACATACTGATAACACACCAACAGACAGACGTGGCTGATTTCCTTATGATATGATAACCACTGATTAATGATACCGCAGATATCAATAATGACATGGCCATCCTCAAATTAGGCTTTTCATAACTACACACTAAAGCAGGCACCTCACCTCCTTTGGTGGAGCCGGTCGCTCCTTGTACTTCTCCTCTGAGAATCTGTAATCAGGTGGAAGAGTATCCTCTCTCTCACCTACACGCACACCTTTCTCTGCCTTGGCCTTCTTCTCCTGCGTACACACATTATCACACATGCTATTGTCTCACTGTCATCACAAATCATGAAAGGAAACAGCTTGTAATGTAACACATTATGAGTGAACAGATAGCCGGTAATGAGCTATTACATCAATAATGTCCTCAGGTCTGAGTTTTGGGGATTCCGGTGCTGGCTTTGCAGCAGGCAGTGTGTCTTCCAGAGCACTCAAAGCATCCAAAGAGATTGAGTCTCCCTGAGGAAAAACACAGGAAGAGGAACAAAGAGATAAACGTTACAGCACAAAATGAATTTAACAACAGCTTAGAAAAATCCTTACGGGTGTATCTGTGGTATAATTAGATTAGACAGAGTTTATTGGTTCTTAGAAACCACATTAGATTTACTGGCACTGACATATGCTTTGTTTTTTTCTCACATCGTCAGTTTTTGGTTTTCTAGCTGGTGAAGAAGAAGGTGCTGCTTTCACAGAGTCATTGGCAGACTGAGGAGATACAGTATGAGTGTACTTTAGTACAACTTCAGTGAATATATCGAGTACTGTTAGTAAAATGCTATTAGACGGTCACTTTAACCACAAATGAATACAACAGCAGACAATTACTAGAGGCTTATGTTGAAATAACTTGTTCCATACCTTCTCTACCTTTGCTTTCTTGTCAGCAGGGGGAGCAGGGGATACATTTGTAGGTACAGTCACATCTTGCCTCTGAAAGAAAAAAGCAGAGACGGATCAGGTTTTTGCTTTTAAGCACACCATTGAAAGAACCTATAGCAAGATCTTATGACCTGCAGGGACCCCAAATGGTAGGATTTTATTTGAAGGCTATCCTCATAAGGACTTCATAGCACATGCAAACAACTAGCACTGATTAATGTATTCACAAAGCAATACTTCAGTATTTATATATTGCTAATGCCAGTTATTGCAAAATGAGCTAACTCAGATTTTCATGTATGCAGCAACACAGGCACAGTCTTAACTCCAAGTACCTTTACATTTGATGCTTAAGTACATTTGAAAGTATGACAACTATAATATTTTGTACTTTTGTACTCAACTACAACAACAGACAGGGAGCTTCTATTTTTATTAAATTAATATTTTACCAAGGGCATTTCTGCTTTCACTGCTTTCACTAATATAGTGTTGCTACATAATTTAATGCTATTTAGTGATCAGGAATTCTGCTGCTGTTTTTCCTCTTTTCTGGACCCAAAAAATTACTATATCCTTACAGTTGTTCTGATTCCTATTGGCTGTAAAATCAAAATGGATGACATTTCACTCTTACTTTCTGAGCAGGGGGAGGAGGAGCATTCTTTGACTGGGCAGCAGTCACACTTTCAGCCTTCTGGAAAAAAAGACAGATGACTTATGTTATCATTAGAAAGTAGAAACCAGCTACAACCAAACAGTAAAGCATTGTAGACCATGTTGCAGGAAACATCAGACTATTTGTTAGGACTAATTAAAGATGAATTGATGTTAGTGTCTGTGTTCTGAACGTACCGCTTCTGGTTTTGGTGCGCTTGGAACTGCAGATGATACAAATCCAGCAGAGAGAGAGTCGACAGCATCATCCACTGTTAAGGGCTTTCAGTGATGACAAACAATGAATGCGTGCACACACACACACACATATACACACACACACACACACACACACACACACACACGCACACACACACACGCACACACACAAAAGATCATTTAGACACAAGCATAAACATGAGACTCAACACACACATATCTATATCCTACAAAGTAATCTTTTCTAATATTACAAACCTCAATTCCAAAAAAGTTGGATCATATTGTATGGGAAAGCAGTGACTGTACCTGTACCCTATATATATATATATATTATTTTGAAATGGGTAAATGTTCAAAAACATCTTAAACAGATGATGTACTGTTTGGGTATAAAAGGAGCATCCAGGAAAGGCCTAGTTCTTTATGAGCAAGGATGGGTCCAGATGTGCCACTCTGCAGACCTGTGTTGCCTCAGATGGGTAATGCATTAAAATCTGGCATGCTACTGTGATGGATATCACAACATGGGCTTGGGAATACTTCAACAAACTGTTGTCAATAAGTACTGTTCATCACTGCATCCACAAATTATGATGGTACTGCACAAAGCAGGCAATATATGTCCACAAATGCAGCTGGCTTCTCTGGGTTCCATCTCATTTGAAATGGACTGATCGCAGCTGAAATATGCAATGTGTTCTCATAAGTCAATCCTTCAGATTTTTTGTGGAAATACTGGATGTTGTGTTTTTAGGACCAAAGAAGAAAAGTACCAACCAGATTGTTACCATCATAAAGTTTAAAATTCTGCATCTATCATGAGATGGGGGTGTATTATCATCCACTAGGGAATTAGGGTAACTTGCAACATATGTGAAGGCAGCATTAATGCTGGACGTTCTGTACACATTTTGGAGCAGCATAACTGCCTTCAAGACAGCGTCTTTTTCAGAGGGGTGCAAGCTTATTTCAATATGACAATGCCAAGCCACATTCTGCACGTGTTACAACAGCATAGCTACATAATCAGTCAGAGCGGGTGCTAGATTGGCTAGCAGTCCAGATCTGTGTCCCATTGAAAATGTGTGGATTATGAAGCACAAAATTCCACTTTTAAAATGTGATTAGTTGGTTTCTTCAGTCCCCAAACAATTATTCAGTGTGTTGAAAAGGCAAGGTGATATAAAACAGTGTTAAACATGCTCCTGTGAACATTTTTAGAACATGTTGTAGGCATCAAATCTGCATATATTTACCAAAAAAAAGGTTCATAAAGTAAAACATCAAATATCATTTTCTTATACTATTTTCAGTTCATTACAAGACAAACAGAATTTACTAATCACTGCTTCCTGTTTTTAGTAGCATTTCACAAGCTGTCCCAACTTTTCTGCATTTGAGGTTTTGTACAATATTCCACAGGGGGGCGCTTCAGGCTTTGCTTTAGATTTGAAAGGTATGGGTCACAGCAGGAAAAAAACAACAGACACACCCCGACACATAGCCAGGCAGAAATATCAAAAACCTGTGGCTTCCTACAGATGCCCTGGAAGACAATGACCAGTAAAGCTCTTAATCATTACCAAATAGTCTTTGGTCTCAAAGATATTTTGAATTCTATTTCAACAAATACTTCATTTATCCTTTAGCCAACTTTTTCCCTAATGTAATGTGAGAAAAAAGAAAATTGTATTTATGACATGCTTTGGCATGAGGGATACGTACTCTGAGTAAATTACATACTTTGACATGAGAGATACAGACTCTCTGTGCGTTTGTGAGTGCTCAAAGGATGTCAGAAAGGGAGACTTAGTGAACCCAACAGATTAAGTACTGTGGATAGTGCAGTCTTGAGATGTGTACTTGTGTGCTTCAACACTCTGTACCTGGCTGAATGTGTCTTTGGAACTGTACCATTGTACATAAGTTTACAGTCTACAAGCAAAATCAGCAAAAACTGGAAAAGAGCACTGACACATTTTCATTACCTTGGAAACTTCCTTGGGCTTATCTGATACTCCAGCAGGAACCTTCTTTTCCTGGCGTAAGTAAGAAAAGGGAGAATTTTAACTCCAAACCCAAGATAAGATACTATCTGAGATTTGTTTCTCTGATACAGCAGATAAGACAGCAAAGACAGCACTTGAAAAATGCTGATAACTGTGAGCATGGAAGTCAAAGCTGTTTCTACGGGCATGTGACCCATGTCAAACTGACCATGTCTCCCCATCTGTACCCTGGAGGCAGTGTGTGCTCGTTCTCCCCACAGCGAAAAGCCACTTCTGAGGTTAGGCTAGGCTGAGACATGCAACATACACTGTTACAACATTCCATAACACAGCAAACAAGCGTGTGCACACAAGCAGGCATGTAAAGCGGATTCATACCTCTCTGACTTCTGGTCCAGAATACTGAAGAGCTTTAGGAGCCACAGGCTCTGAGGATGGCAAACTGCCATACAAGGCATCGAATGGATCTACAGCAGGCGCCTGCGCAAACAGCAGCTCAGGATTGCACATGCAAACTGACATGCTCTCTAATACAAGCACTAGCAACCTCACACCCAGAGCTTTAACAAGAAAGAAAGGAGTGCAGACTTACCGGTGCACTGGCCTTGGCTGCTGGAGGAGCTGCTTCCGAATGCACCTGCAGGCCAGAGCAAAATGACTCTTACTGTACTGGTCTTGCAGTATGCTACTACTATGAAGAATGCACTGTGTCTACATGTGTTTGGCTTGTTCTTTATGTTTACGATCAATTTAATCATTAAACAGTGAGTCAGAAAACATGAGAGGGGTTCAGGTGAAGGTCCTGTTTAGAGTTCTGCAAGAACATTCATCAAGAGATGACACAGTTTTGAAAAAAAGCAGTGAGTTAATTACAACTAAACAAGAAAGTTAAAAAAAAAAAATTATTAGAAACGAAAATTCTTCTCCTAGAACTACAAGCAGTTCCATGACGAGGGTCAAGATTACATTTTCTCTTGTGATCCTGAAGAAAATACCTTGGCTTCTTTTGATTTAATATCATCTTTTTGGGTAGCGCTTCCAGAGACGTTAGCAGTGGCAGAGGGCTTAGCCACTCCTGTGGATGTCACCTTCGGTGGTTCCGGTTTGGAGGATGAAATCACGGTGCTCTATTCGAAGCATATGCATCCATTACATGACTGGTCATGGAACTACACAATTCACACCCAAAAGTAAAAGCTGCCCAATGTGAAATGAGGCAGGAGACCACATCTTAAGACTACCATAATGAGGCCAAAGAAAAGAGCAGCAGTGTGGTTGAAAGAGAAAGGAAAAGATAAGATGCAACCCATATCTTTCCAGAAATGCTAATGAGCAGCTCCCATTGCTCAGTCGAGGCAATAATATGTGAAGGTGGCAAGGACGACACATGGCCATCACAAGATCATGGTGCAGTACATAATTCAAGGAAAGAAACAGAATTCCAGGGCATTCTCCTAAAAGCACAGCACCAGATACGAAACACCATGAAGAGACGCATAGTGATTAATCTCGACCCCGTCCAGCAAGGCAACAATGAGGCCACAGGTTGCAGGTTGATCCTGGCCTAAAGAGTCCTTTTAATACCTGGGGTTTGTCTTTTAAAGTATCTTTGGGCTTAACAGGGTCTGCATTGGGCTTTCCTGCCGCAGCTCCTCCACCTGTTGCTCCTGCTCCTCCTTTTCCACTCATTGCTCCACTCCCTGCGCTCACAGTGGGAGCTTTAGCAGGAGAGATGGGTGGAGTCTGCGACCAAAATACAAGCTTGAAGACTGACAATCTACACGTTAAGCCATACATGGTCATGCAGAAGCTTGTTCGGTGAACAGTCACTGGCAAGCGTATTAGAGGTGTAGTAACAGGAAGAGAGCAATGGTAATAACCAACAGGACTTTATACTCAAATTCATGAATATTTATGACTTACCGCTTGTGACTTTGGTGCACTTGGAACTGCAGATGATACAAAACCAGCAGACAGAGAGCCCAAGGCATCATCCTCTGTTAATGGCTTTCAGGGTGAAATCAATAAAACACACACACACACACACACACACACACACACAGACACAAGAATGAACATCTTATTACACAGACCTGTAGTTCCTATAACATACTCCTCTATAGTGATACAGTATTCCACAAGGGGGCGCTTCAGGCTTAAGTTCAGATTTCAAAGGCATGTGTCATGGCAGGAAAAGTACTGACACACCCCAATAGACACCAGAACAGACATTGAAAACTTGCAAATTTCCTAAAAACCACAGAAAACAATGACCAGTAACCAGTGTTTTACAAAAATTTTAATATTTACTAAATAGCATGTAAAAATATAAACACTAAATACATTAATCATTTCATCAATGAAGAAATAATAATACTCTATGGCATGAGGCACAACAAAAGTGTACACCACAGGCTGTCGTGTAAGGAATACTAAAAAGACTTTATATGAGTGGGCATGTGCACTCGCAAGTGTCTCTCTTAGGTGTTTGACTGGGCAGGACAACTGCATGTCAACTTCTAACAGTGATGTGAAAGAGTGGATGGTGTCTCTATCATTTCCACATTGGTGCACACTAGGGATAGACATAGGTAACATATTAACTCTTAAATGACAATGAGGCCACAACTTGCAGGTTGATCCTGGCCTAAACAGTCCTTTGTAGTACCTGGAGTTTGTCTTTTTAAGTATCTTTGGGCTTAACTGGGTCTGTAGTTGGCTTCCCTGCCCCAACTCCTCCACCTGTTGTTCCTGCTCCTCCTTTTCCACTCATTGTTGGTTTACAACTCAAGTTGAAAAACGTTATTAAAATGTACATATGAGGGCACAATGGTCAAAGGGTTCTGCTGGATAGGTCTAATAACAAATGAAGTGCACAGCTAAAAATAGTGGTGTTTGGGATCACTTTTCAGAAGCACAGCAGCACAACTACAAAGATGTACTGTATTGAAAGCAAATACCACTAAGTGATAAGACAGACAACTATTTCGTCTATGTCCTTTGAGAGAAAGTGTGATGCCTGACAGTGTGAGGAAATCAGTAGTCTATCTTTGTAAAGTCCAGTCATTTTGTTAACTTTTTGATTTTTTGTTATCATGAAAACACATCTCAGTTTAAACCAGACTAGGGGCAGCACTCCCAAAGTCTTTCCTAAGGAAAAAAAAACCTTATAAAAGCTCTTAAGACAATGCAAAACAAAAACAAGTTGTTTGTTCTTAAATGCAAGTCTCATAAAATAATTAAGTCCTCAAATATTCTCTTACAAAAAAAACTGAGCAAACAAGATCTGCAAGTGATGCTGGAGGAAACAGCCAATAGGAAAAATTCTCTGTTTTTTTTAACAATTATATTTTGTGAGAAGTTTAAGAGGTTCCTCATGTCAATTCTTACTATCTAGACAAGTGTTAGACTGTCATAGAGCCAAGAAAATATTTAAGGACATTATTTCATTAACACCACTTGCTTTTATAAGTGTTCCCTGTGTCAAAGGTTAAAAAAGAAATGAAGTACTACATTCAACGGTCCATGCAAGGAACATTTTAATATCTTGGTGCATTAATGCAGAATTCAGATGATGTGTGCGTGTATATCAGGTACTTTACAATGGCGTTGAACTTGGCTCGTCAATCAGATTTTAGAACCAGAACTGTAAGTAATTGATATTTTGACAGGTCGCACTCTGATTTTAGACTTAATAGCTGCTTAATCAATGATTAATTGCCAACTAATGACAGTCTGTTATTGGTCAAAAGAATTTGTCAAAATCTACATCCCTAGCGCACAAACTTTATTTAAACCTCATTTAGAACAGGCACACTGAGATGAGAAATGACTGCCTGTGAGGGCGTGTGAGAGAAAAACAAGTCAGAGACCAGTTGTTGTGGGTATTTGCTAAGTGAACAGCCCTCGGAGCAACGCAGCATTCCACACAGCAGAGGTACAAAAGATTATGTGCAGTGAGCACTGCTGTCTTGAGTTGTTTATAGTATATACAGTTCTGTGTATTAATAATACTTTCCACCACAGGGGTCTGCCCTAACACACCAGTTCAACTTGGTAAGTACCTGCGAGTTGAATCAGGGGTGCTTAAGCTGGGAAATCACCAAACTGTCTTCCTCACCCCTGCTGTGCTAGACTGAACGTGTTTTTGACATTGTCCCACAACAGCAAATACAATATGACTGCATGAGCGTGTGACGGTCAGCTTCTTTACCTTGGAAACTTCCTTGGGCTTATCTGGTTTTCCAGCAGGCATCTTCTTTTCCTAGTGTGATTAGAGAAAGTGAGTGTTAACTCCAAGCCTCCAATTAAATACCGAGATTGGTTATTTATGACACATCAGAGAAAAGAAAACAATACTGCAGTGATAAGACTAAAATGCTGTGAGCAAGGAAGTCACAGCTGTGTTTATGGGTGTGTGACCCATGTCAGACTGACCATGTCTTCCTTTCTATATCCAGGTGGCAGCGTGTGCTCTTTCTCCCCACAGCGTTTAGCCTCTTCTGAGGTTAGGCTAGGCTGAGACATGCAACACACACTGTTTTAACACGCGTTCCATAACACAGCAAAAAGCAGGCCGTTAAAAAACAACCATGCACACACATGCGAGTGCAAACGCAAAGTAAGACTCACCTCTTTGATCTCTGGTCCAGTATACTGAGGACCTTTAGGAGCCACAGGCTCTGAGGATGGCAAACTGCCAGCCAAGGCATCGAATGGATCTACAGCAGGTGCCTGTGCAAACAGCAGTTCAGCAATGCACATGCAAACTCACATGCTCTGTAACACACAGCCTAGCAAACTCTAACCTATAACAGTGAGGAGGATAAGAGAAGTGTGGACTCACTGGTGCACTGTTCTTCGTCGCTGAAGAAGGCACTTCCACCTGCACCTGTAGACCAGAACCAAATTACCATCAGTGTACCGGTCTGGCATAGCTGATAGAATAGAATGTACTACTGTATGTGTTATGTTACTACAGTAAAATCAATTTTAGCAATGGACAGTGTGTCAAATACTTGGTTCATTTAAATTACTGTAGGCCAATTCCAGCTAAATTGGTGTAAGTTTGAATGCTTCAGTACTGTGCAAAAGTCAGAGCTTCATTTATTCCTACTCAACACAGCCATTAAGTACAAGTTGTTCATTTTCCGCATCAGAATAAAAGCAGAATATATATATATATATATATATATATATACACACACACACAATAAAAAATTACACAGAAGCCTCAACCACTAAATAATATCAAATTTTTCAACATTAATGTGTCCACCCTTTGACATTATTACAGCTTCCATTCTTTTAGGGAGACTCGTTTTCAGTTTTTCAAAGAAGTCTGCAGGGATATTTTACCACACCTACAAAGTTCAGTCTTAGACCTTGGTTGCACTTGCTGATTCTCTGATCCAAGTAATATCAAACATATTCAACGACGTTGAAGTATGGACTCGAGGGTGGTCAGACCATTGTTCTGAAAACACCAGCAGCTTCTTTGTTTGATTTGCAAATTTTCATCTTTCTTGTCTATTAATTTTCTCAGTAATGGCTTCATGACAGTTTTACATCCTTTCAGACCCATAACATTCAGTTGTCTTCCCACAGTGGATTGGTGGACAGAAACACCTGTGGAAGTTACATTAAAGCTTCATTTGATTCAAGATTCACTTGAATTTATCAGAAAGCCTTAAGCACTGTTCATCTGATGGTCACTGTTTTGGTGGTCAGCCAGGTTTTGCACAGTTGTTAGGAGTCCCATTTTCTTTATGTCTTGAACTTCAGTTTTGGAAACGTTTCCCATTTATTTTCCTTTAACTTTCCACTTCCTTCCTCATCCGGCTGGATTATCTTATATCTAACCTCCTCAGAAATATTTTCTTAAAAATGAATAACCTGTACTTAATGGCCATTTTGACTGGAAATTCATGAAATGAAGGGTGGTATCTGCCCAGCACTGTATGTACTGCTTACAGTTCAAGAACATCCATCAATGTGAGAGGCAGCATTAACATTTTAATTAGAACAGGATCTAGGACTTCCAAGTAGTGTAACTAGCTAAACAGATTGCGTTCCTAGCACTGGGAAGTCTGGTTCCCAATGATGCCAGTGTCCTCTGTGGCAAAGAGAGCACCTGGCCTCTGATGTTTTGTTGGCAGCAGCTCAAAAAAGATGCAGTTAATGGCTAAACAGAACTTAGTGAAAGCAAGTGTTAGTGTTCTTAACCACCACCGAACAAGGGAGACTTACATAGTCAGTGAGAACTGAAAACAAATGTATAAAACATCATAGCCGTTGAAGAGAACATAAAGATAAAATAGAGAAACTTGTTCAAAAACAATCAAGACTTCCATGGAGGTGGCATGTTTTCTGTAGCGCATCCCCGACGTTTAAGAAAATACCTTGGATTCTTTTGACTTAGCATCATCCTTTTTGACGGAACTTCCCACTCCTGTGGTTGTCACCTTAGAAGGTTCCGGTTTGGAGGATGAAATGACGGTACTCTATTTGAAGCATACGTGCAACCATTACATGACAGACACAATTCACGCCCAAAATTCAGCTCAGGCAGAAGACCATATATTATGCCTTTCATGATGAGGCCAAAGCAAAGGGCAGCAGAGTGGATGAAAGAAGATGCGTTCATAACTTTTCAGAGATGTAATGAAGTCCTGCTTATTGCTCCCCAAAGTCTGCACTTTGCCCAGAGGGTAAAAGCTGAACCACGGCAGTAAAATGTGTATATGGTATGGAAGATACAAGGCTTTTAGACATGGTGCAGTATATACTTGAGGCAGAAAAACAGCATTCCAGGCCATTCTCACTGAAGCACAGCAGCAGGTATGAAATAAGCTGGACAAATGAAACAGCATATTGATGAACCTCAACCACATCCAGCGAAGCACCGTAGCAGCCAGATCATAAGAAACAGGTTGATCCTGGCTTAAACAATCTTTTGGGTACCTGGGCTTTGTCTTTTGAAATATCTTTGGGCTTAACCGGATCTATAGTGGGCTTCCCGGCCCCAGCTCCTACACCTGTTGCTCCTGCTCCTCCTGTTCCACTCGCTGCTCCACTCCCTGCGCTCACAGGTGGAGCTTTAGCAGGAGAGATGGGCGTAGTCTGCGACCAAGAGACAAGTGCGAGAGCTGATAATCTAAACATTAAAATCATACATGGCCACGCACAACCTCGTTCAGGTTACAGTCAGCAGCAATCGCAAGAGATGTGTGGTGAACATGCAAGGAGAGTCCAATATGAGTTCAGTGGGTTCAGCGTGTGCCCAGCATGTGCTTTTAATAGTTCTGGCAAACACATAAATGCAGCATCATCACTTCATTCCACCACCACCATTTACTGTAAACATGCCCTAGTGTGCCCTGTGTATTATGGATGAGCTATGCAATGATCCACACAGTGAGGAATATCAAACAAACCCACAGGAGACCCAGAGAGCTGAAGAGAAAATCCCAGAGACTACAAATATGACTTCAAAGACCTCATGCCTTTATAGTGAAGGCTGATCTTAAGAAAGAGAGCAGAGAGAAAAAGGGGCCCCCCTGAGATAAAGGCTGCTGTATTAGTGAAGGTGTGAAGGTATGAGAAACAGCAGGTGTGGAGTTATGAAATGAAATGGAAGGAAGAATCCACCAGTCCCACAACACATGCTGGAGTCTACCTGGGGTGTGACTTTAGGAGCTCCACTCTGGGTGCTTAGACTGCTGGCTGCTCCTGTAGGGGGCGCTCCACTGACAGAAGCCCCTGTCGAGACTCCTCCACTAACTTTAGCTCCTGTAGAAACCCCTGCACTGACTGTGGCTGCAGTAGATGTTGGGGCAGTACTTGCAGCAGTAGTGGCTGCAGAGGGAGCGGTGGTGCCAGGCTTTGCAGCAGAACCTGCAGCGGACGCTGATGCTGACCCCTTCTGCAATGCAGATATCATTGTCTGTGATATCTCACCATTCAGAGGGTAGTTGGTTTCACTAAAGGGTATTAAAGGCATTGTTTCTCATTCATATCAGTTAATAGCATTGAATCCTTGCCAGACAAAACATCTGAGCAGAATCCAATACGACTATTTTTCTACTACTCAGTCAGCTGTTATTGAATCTCTATAAGAGCTAGTTAACAAGAATCAGGATGAATAGGACAACTTTTAACTGTTGTGTGTCACCATGGCAATATAAAGGCAACCTAAAACAACCCTGCTTTTATACTGAAAAGAGGGAAATGAGTCAGAAGGCAAATTCCTCTCCAGGGAAACGCCATGTTCTATTATCCACCCTGCATGAACATCCACATATTCCAGCTACGCCAGTGGGTTACCACACAAGCAACACAAGAGTCTTTTGCTCCAGAGAGACATATTTTACATGGTAGAGGACAGTTTTAACAGAAGGTAATAGTGTAATCAGCTGGAATTAGCAGGTCTTTATCCTCTTGCTGTCTCATTAACAATTAGTCCACAAATAAAAATCCATTCTCTGCATCTTTCCATGAATCCGTCAGTTCTGACAGTTTGACAGTGCGTCACGCTAAAGGCTTTCAGTGACACACAAACAGGGACACAAAACATTCCAGTGTTTTTCCCCCAAATACTTCAGAGAAAATTTGCTTGTCTTTCTCAAACTATCATTTCACAACCTGTCAAAGACTGATTTAGTTTCAAGGCAAAATGATTCCAGATACCAGAACAGGAGGGGACCTGATGTTCTCTTTCCAGACTCTTACTGTTCAGGAATAAGGCCAAGCTCAGTGTCTTAAAAGACTGAACAACAGACAAGCTTAGCTAACCAACTTGCGCTCAGTGGACAAGAATGAAGGGTTTCGCTTGAGAACTTTCCAGTCTTTTTCCAAACTCTTTACCCTTAAGTAATAAGGTCAGGTGCAGGGTTTTAAAAGGAATCCTGACTATAAAAACCTTTAAAATAAAAATCTCTTGTAAAACATACACACTATAAAATACACAATAAGATTTTATTTATGATAAAAAGCCACAGCTTAACTCATTCAGTAACCTCAGTTGCTCTGGCCAGATGGTGGGACTCAAAACAAGTCAGATACATTGTCCTGTTTTGGGGTGTAACTTTCAATTAATAGAGTAATAAAGAAACTAACATTAAACTTTGCCGCTTTTCTAATGATAAGAATAGGAGAAAAGAGCAGCGAGATACTTGTGGACAAACAGTGTCAAACCAGTGGTGATGCAGTACTAACATCAAGCCAGAACTGCACCACAGTGCTTGTTAATTCAGACTGAATGCAACTTTGAGGTTACTGACTGACTTGATCAGTACTAACATGCAACAAAGGTTGTAAATGATCAAATTTACAACTGGTAATGCGACAACATTTGAGCATAACTATTAAGTGTTTCACAGACAGCATACACAAAACTTGCTGTGACCATCTGTAGCCTTGCCTACGCTCCCTTCTAGGGCTACCTCTCAGGATACCACCACAACTTGAAACATAACACACGCTGCTTTGTTTATGGGTCTAGATTGCACAGCACAGCAAGAATGTTGTATTTTGTTGTATACCTAAATATAAACATCCAGTAATAGACTTGAAGGGTAAAACTGTGCTTTGTGTGCACATGACCACTACCAAGCTTGCTGTATGTGACCAAAAGAGCTACCCTGATTAATATGGAAATGCACTGCAAGCGGTGCAGTACAGAACTAACATGATTGCTGCATCTAGTCTAAAATGACCTTCTTTAATAGTCCACTACAATAGCGGAGCTTTTTACAACGGGCCTTTACTTAATGAACTTTTCACCTCTATTAGTGTACATGAGCATTTGCTGCACAGACATCATCCATTTTGTCCCATTCTCACACGAGTAAAGGGTACATTCTTAAAAAAAAATTGTTTAAGAGCTCCTTAGTAAAGCCAATGGCTGTACAGTGCTGTGGAAAAGTATTTGCCCCAATTTCTTCTATTTTTGCTAATTTGTCATGGTGAAATGTGTCAGACCATCCAACTGATTTTATTATAAGATGAAGACAACACAAGTTAACATAAAATGCAACTTTTAAATGATTGTTCAATTTATGGAAAATAGAGATTTATTCAAAACCTGTATCACCCATATGAAAAAGTAATTGCCCCTAGACCTAATAACTGGTTGTGCCTCTCAACTGCAATCAAACGTTGGCCTTAACTTGGGATGAGTCTTTTACATCGCTGTGGAGGAATTCTGGCCCACTTCTCTTTGCAGAATTGTTTTAATTCAGCTACATTGGAGGGTTTTTGAGCTGCCCATTTAAAGGTCTTTTCAAAGCATCTCAACTGCATTCAAGTCAAGACTTTGACTTGGCCACTCCAAAACCTTAATTTTGCTTCTTTTGAGCCATTCAGAGATGAACTTGCTTGTGTACTTCTGATCATTGTCCTGCTGCATAACCCAGCTGCACTTGAGCTTTAGGTCACAAACTGACGGGCAGAAATTCTCCTCTAGGATTTTCTGATAGAGAGCAGAATTCATGGTTCTATCAATTATGACAAGTCATCCAGGTCTGGCAGAAGCAAAGCAGCCCTGGACCATCGCACTACCAAAGTGCCTTTCAACTTTCCCATGGATTCCATTTTTGCTCAGTGTTTTTCTTATTGTGGAATCATGTACAATGACCTTAACTGAGGCAAGTGAGGCCTGCAGTTCTTTAGATGTTCGTGGGTTTTGTTGTGACCTCATGGATGAGTTGTCACTGCACTCTTGGTGAAATTTTGGTAGGCCCGCCACTACTGGGAAGGTTCACCACTGTTCCAAGTTTTCTCCGTTTGTGGATAATGGCTCTCGGCAATGGCTTTGTAACCCTTTCCAGACTGGTAGATTACAGTGACTTTGTTCCACATCTGTATTTGAATCTCTTTAGAACGTGGTATCATGTGCTGCTTTTTGAGACCTTCTAGCCTGCTTCACATTGCCAGACAAGTTCTATTTAAGTAATGTTTAGATTCAACAGGTCTGACAGTAATCCTGCCTGGGTGTGGATAGTGAAACCAAACCCAATAGTCAATTGAATTTGGTTAACTGGCTGATTTAGTATCTAAGAGGCCAATTACTTTTTCACATAGGGCCAGATAGGGCTGAATAGCTTTTTTTACTTCAATACATAAAATCATCACTTAAAAAATAATTGTGTGTTTACTTGGGTTGTCTTTGTCTAATATTTAAAGTAGTTTGATGATCTGAAACATTATTTTTTTCAGTAATATATTAAACAATTTTTGCTAAGAGTGTAGATTCCAGTGCAATCATTAGATGTCATGATCCACAGTACACTGCATTGATGACAATCACATGTGAATAGTGGGATTGTGTGTGTATTTAATAGTTGTATTTACAACATATTAAGGTCTACAAATCTTAGCAGGTGG